TCAATCTTTTCTCCGTTTATCATGATGTTGCTTATTGGTCCAGTTGTGAGGATTTTTGTTTTCTTTATGTTGAGGTGTAATCCATACTGAAGGCTTAGTCTTTGATCTTTATCATTTAGTGCTTCAAGTCCTGTTCGTTTTCAGCAAGCAAGGTTGTGTCATCTGTATATCTCAGGCTGTTGATGAATCTTCCTCCAATCCTGATGTCGTGTTTTTCTTCATATAATCCAGTTTCTCAGATTATTTGCTCAGCATACAGATTGAATAAGTGTAGTGAAAGGATACAACCCTGATGCACATCTTTCCTGATATTAAACCATGCAGTATTCCCTTATTCTGTTGGAATGACTGTCACTTGGTCTATGAACAGGTTCTGCACGAGCACAATTAAGTGTTCTGGAATTCCCATTCTTTGCAATGTTATCCATAATTTGTTATGATCCACACAGTTGAATGCCTTTGCATAGTCAGTAAAACATTATTAGCTAGCAATTGAATTTAAATAACTGAGATTCTAATCTTGTGATATTAGATTACCTTATTTAATTGGTTAACTCTTGACCAATTAAAAGAACCAGAGTGGATGGTTACAGTCTGTATGGCCTAGGAAAAGCAGATTGAAATTAACATCTAACTGAAGGAAGGAAGCTAATTGTTAATTCCACTGGTGGTACTATAATTTAGGATTAAGGGATCCTGATTCTTAAAGCCAAAGGCCCAGAAAAAAAGAATCTAGAGTAGAAGTATATTGTATCTGTTTATTTGTTTTTTAAAAAAATCACTCTCTAGGGTTCTGTATGGACAACACCTACCTGGAAGTTGTTGTTGTTCGTTGCTGTTGCGTCAGCAGCCCCACACGTGCAGAGTAGAAACGTGTTCCACTGGATTTTCAAGGCTGCGACCCTTCTGAAGCAGATGGCAAGGCCTGTCTTCCCAGGCACTTCTGGGTGGGTTCCAACTGCTAATCTTTGAGCTAGTAGTCCGGTGCTTGACCGTTTCCATCACCCAGGAATTAGGTGTGTGTATTTCCTCTGGATCCCGACAGCATTGGGACCAATTAGGTAACAGATATAAACTAGGTTAAGGGTTATGCTTGAACCCATGGTTACCGAAATGTCCTTGTTTGCCTTTGCTTTCTCATTAACAACACTAGAGTTTGAAATTCACTTTCTGGCTCAATCCAATAGAAGTTTCTTATTAGCTGAACACACGGGGAGCTTCTTAAGTAAATTCCAGCAATCCTGCCTTGAGACAGTTCCGCAGTCGTTCTCAATTCTCATCGCCTAATTCCTGCTCAAAACAGTAGGAATTTAAAGATGATGTAACAATAAGATCAGAACTGACAGTTTTATCTTCCCTGGTCACAAGCAAGTGGGTCAAAATATGCCTCAGAATTCCTTCCCTTTCACCAAGGGAAGAGTCACAGTGACCGTTGTGTCTAAGAGAGGACTGAATTTGACACATTGAGTCCAAAAATATCTTCCACCCAGTGCTATCCTTCCTATGATCACTTCATCTGAGAATAAAACTGTCTTTTAAAAGTGATACTAAAGTATAAATTGTTTCAAAAATAGTCAGGGCTCTGAGTTGGTGGTTTGCAAAGCATGAGGAACCCAGCATAGGCTCTGAGCTAACCTCTCACTTACCTAGGTCCTGCATGCAGTCTGGGAGGAGGAAGCTACAGAGCGCTACTCACCCAACCAGGCATTTCACGTGTGCAAATGGTTTGCCCTCAACTACTTACCTAAAGATTGATGGTTCGAACTTACCCAGTGGTACCGTGAGAGAAGGCCTGGTGGTCTGCTTCCATAAAGATTACAGCCAAGAAAACCCTATGGAGCAGCTCTACTGTGTAACACGTAGGGTGGCCATGAGTCAGAATTTGTAACGGGTTTAGTTTTTAGGTTTTTATTCCCGGAGAGTGCAAATGGTTAACCTGCTCTGCTAACTGAAAGGGTAGAGGTGCCTCAGAAGAAAGGGCTGGTGGTCTGATTCCAAAAAATCAGCCATTGAATACCCTGTGGAGCACAGTTCTACTCTGACGGAACTCTGACACACGAGTCCTCCATGACAGAGACCTAGTCCACGGCAGCTGACCAGTGACTAGAAAGGAGACGTGAATAAACCCGGAGATATCTTTGGCATTATGTAGACCTGAGGGGAGAATGGTCCTGCCTTGCGTTTCTGGGCAGACATTGCTCATGAGAAAAAGGCAGTAGGCTCTTAACAAATGACTGTTGGCTGAATGAAAAATGGTTACATTTTCTAGTTTGAGGTAGGGAAACAGGGCCAGCAGGCAGCATATTGGGGAGTTCTCCTCAGCCCTGCATTCATCTCCAACACTTGTAGTTCTGCCTGCTCCAGGAAGCTGCTCAGAAACCCGTATTAGCTGGGGGAATACGGAATCAATGGGAGAGTTTGAATCCATCCAGTCTTCTCCATCCGAATTGCCACTGCCTTACCTCAGTCACCCTTATCTCTTCCCTGCCTTGCGCTCTCTGCGCTAGAGTCAAAGGACAGTTTCTACCGTGAGATTTTGGATGTCCCACAGCTGTGTAGTCCGCTGGGACTTTGTACATGCTGATTCCTCCGCTTAGGGTAGGGAGCCCCCGCTTAGGATAGGGGGCCCTACTTAGGGTCGGGAGCCGCCGCTTAGGGTAGGGCGCCCCCGCTTAGGGTAGGGAGCCCCCGCTTAGGGTAAGGATTCTGCGTTTAGGTTTCCTTCCCTACGCACCTTTGCCTAGCTACCTCCTTCTTATCCTGGCTTGTTATTACCTCCAGGAATCTTTCTCTAATCCCTGGGAGGCTGGGTTACCCACCCTTCCTTAAGTCTCCGTTTGTATTCTTTATACATCGCCCGCCACCCCGCCCTTCTCAGCGCCTGTCTCCCTGTGCCCTGTTGTAAATGCCTTTATCTCTCTGATTCTCTCCCTTTCCGTCAGCACCCTGCTCCTCCCACATCGCTGTTAAACCAGACGCTCTGTAAGGACAGAGGCACAGTCTTGTTTGCCATTGTGTCTCCAGGGCTGAGGCCGATCCTGGGCACACAGTACGTGCTCAATAAATATCTGTTTGATAAGAAAGAACTGTTTGAGAAATGAGTGGAGAAATTAGGGAATAAGAATTTTCTCCCCTGCCAGATTCCAAAGGGTTATTTATTTTTTTTACATGTAAAGATTAGTGAAGAATACGTCAGCGCTCCCCTTCCTCTTACAACTATATGGAGGATAAGTAGTCAACATACATCTCCCTTTACCGTCCCTTTCAGTCTACTCACCCTGCTTCCCTCCACCCCCCCAACCCCCTGCTCTGTGACCTCAGGATGACACCTCCTTGCCCTTGGCATCCATTGGTTTCAGCAGGGATCGGAGGGTGTGAAGAGAAAGAGATAATGGTATTTATACCCCTGGCATTGTCCCAGCCTGGCCACTAACACAAGTCCCCTTTTACCGTATACTATCACTTTGTATTTTAATTGCCTGGGATAAATATTGAGATGCTAATTAAAATACTATGCTAAAAAAAATTAGAATTTGTGCGCTGGTTGGTTCCAGCTCTGTAGGGTAAGTGTAGGGGGAAGGGGACAAGGCAGAGTTTCAAACGCCTATCTTTGCATTTCAGTAAGTAACAAAGGAAAAGGGTGTTTCTGTTGGAAAAGTAAAGTTGATGTAACAAGCATTCTATATTACATGCATTATAGGAAATCTCTCATTGAAAGGAGTGATTTAAATGGAACACAACGTGAAATAATCATTAACAAGGACATCTCTCAGCCACGAGGAATTGCTGTTCATCCAATGGCCAAGTAGGTATTTCTAAAAGCAAGGAACATTTCTGCCGAGTCATCAAAATTTGTCCTAGACTCAGGTGACCGGTGAAATTGGAAACCAGGAAAAGCCATCAGATTTGTTCAATTTTTTAGAAATGATACAGCTGGCATGACTTCTGCATCCTTTTAACGTCTTTTGGTTTTTTATTCTTATATAAGAATCTTATTGTTTATATGCCCTCTTATTTTAAGCAAATTAAATTTCTCCTTTATAAGAATGGGCTATGATTCATTAATAAATTAGATATAAGCCCATTACCTGAAACAGGTCAATCTATTATCTTTAAAATCTACGCTATTGCTTTACTGAGCAGAGGACAGTATTTGGGTTGAGTAATTTTTGAATGCTGTTTAGAAAAATCATCAGATGAGTTTAAATGATAGACCATTCCTAGATTTGAACAAGAAGAAACAGAAATTCTGAATGTTAATTGTGAATACATTTTTTATTTAGGGGTTAAAAAATTACACAGACTACTGTTTCTCTCTTGGTTGTCAAAAGCAAGGATAAACACCAACGCTTTTTTATTTATAATAGAACTTTCACAATGGTTTATGAGAGATAATATATTAGTAGTAATTGAGAATTCATTTGGAGATAGCCAAATGGTTAAACAGACTAGTAAAATAGACAGTGAGCTGTGTTGACATAAAAAAGTACCTCAGTACCTGATTTGTGGAACTTAAAATATTCAAGTTAACCAAGTACATTGTATAAATGTGGATTAGAGATAAATATGCTCTTCCTTTTATGTTGTAGTTTTACATATACAGTGAGTTTACTTATGCCTAACAGAGGGACAGGTTAGTAAGATTTCATTGCATTTTGCAACTTGAAATGCAAATTTAAGACTATGTCATTGGATACAATTTTGATTAGTAATATACTACAATTTTTTAAATGAATGATTCCTTTTTTATTTCATGATCTGGGCTTTAATTCAGTATTTTTTGTTCAAGACACTCTACATAGAAAATATTATCATTTTGCTTTTAAAAATTATTTGTCAAACATCCCATGCTATGCTTTCTTCATCTCTATTCCTTCGTTTACCACTTCAGTTTATCCTAACGTAATTTACACTGATGTTTTCAATGATGAAAGAATGGAAATTTTTCGTGTGCCGATCTTATTTGTTGTGTGCTTTCTTGATTAAAGGAGACTATTCTGGACTGATATGGGTATTAATCCACGAATTGAAAGTTCTTCCCTTCAAGGATCTGACCGACGGGTTATAGCTACTTCTGATCTGGTCTCGCCCAGTGGAATCACAATTGACTACTTAACTGACAAGTTGTATTGGTGTGATGCCAAGCAATCAGTGATTGAAATGGCCCATCTGGATGGTTCAGAACGCCAAAGACTTGCCCAGAATGATGTAGGTGAGGCTTTGGGATGGGTCATTACGTCATCTGGACTGAGTGCTGATGAGTGTTAAATTCAAATGTGTTTATACACACACCCACACCCACACCCACACCCACACACACACACACACACAGCTATAAAGTAAGAAAAGAACTAGAAACAGACTTCTCCAGGGAATTATGAGCTATAAGGATTATCTTAACATTGGAATATTGTAGAAAAATAGTGATACATAATAATTTCTTTTTTCCAAAATTTCCCCAAATCAGAATGAATATATTAGTTTTCTAAGCTTCTTTAGGAGGTAAGCACTTGGTTGAACTGTTATAATTTCTTATATTTTAGAAAATATTTTTTTCACATTTTTTAGATAGTAGTGAATATGTATTGATCACTTTCCATGTGCAAAGATTAATGAATTAAGTTCTCTCCCCGACTATATTTTTAGTTTTTGCATGGGGTGACATGCAATATCTTTAAAACATTGTAGCCTATGTTAAATGTTAAAAAGAAAAGTATAAATGACTCTGAGATTATATATCATTGGGAGATTGATTTTGACTTGGGGAATCTGCAAAGAGGACAGTAGCTGAACTGGGTCATGTGGTGACTAGATGGGAATAAAGGTTATAATTGAAATAACGCTGCCACAATTGATCTTTGTTAGTACTGCCAGGATAAGCTGACTGAACTTAATTCTGAATGTATTAGGGAGCCATGGTATGTTCTTGAGCAAGTGTATATGATAAGGTTGGTATCTCTGGCTGGTCATTTACGTAACAGTGTAAGGGTTGGATTGGAATTGGAGAGAAGGAAATCAGTTAGGAGGCTGCGGTGATTGTCCAGTCAACGGTTAATGAGGGCCTGAGCTAGAACATTGCCATTTAAAAGTGGACCAGTGGATCAGGGTAGTAAAAATCCTTGTGGATGAAAAATTGAAGGAATTTAGTAACAGATTAAGGAGCCCTGGTGGGGAAATGGTTAATCACTCAGCAGTTAACTGACAGGTCAGTGGTTAGAACCCACCCAGCAACTCTGTGAGAGAAAAGACCAGGCCATCAAAGACCAGGCCATCTGCTGCCATGAAGATTACAGCCTAAGAAACCCTATGGGGCATTTCTACTCTGTCATATAGAGTTGCTATAAGTTGGAATGCACTTGGCTCTACAGCACACAACAACAGTAACAGATTGAATATAGAAAATGAGGGCCAGGCATGTACTGAAGACGCTTTGGAGATCTAGAAACTGTTCCAGTGAGAATATGAAACAGAAGAAAACATGTCTCTCTCTTTTAGGAAGAAGATAACAAACAGACACTGTATATATTTATTTTGCCCATTCTCTTTGGTGTTAGAGGTAATGAATTTCTAGATTTGTATGACGTATTAAATAGATCAAAGATAAGTATCATTGAAAAATTTATACATGTCCAAGATGCTTTAAAAATCAAAGACGTACTTCACAATAAATGATAAGCTTGTGTACCATCTTAGAATTTACTCAGTCATGAAACTGAACAGGTATTTATTGAGTCATTATAGAAACTGAAGATACAGTGGAGAGTGACAAAAACATGGCCCCTGTGAAGTCATGGAGTCTAGTGGGGAAGATGCACGTTATTAAAATAATAAACCACCCAAATAAATGTCATATTATAACTGTGTTATAAGAAATGTAAAGGGATGTGAAGAGTCTTAACCGCAATTTAAAGCCACTATACTCTAAACCAAAAAACACAGCAGATATTTAGTGTATAATTTATATTACTACTGTAATCTATGACTAATGCAATTTCCTGTTGAAGGCTATTATCATAATTTGATATTAAAAGTACACCATCATTATTACAGTGCCATCTACTGGTATATAAGTGATGGCTTCTCAACTGCCAGTTCAGGATTTTTAATGTAAAGGTAGAAGTTAACCAAAGCCAAACCCTTTGCCATTGAGTTGATTCTGACTCATAGCGCCTTATAGGACAGAGTAGAACTGCACCCTAGGGTTTCCAAGGAACAGCTGGTGGATTCGAACTGCTGACCGTCTGATTAGCAACCGTAGCTCTCAACCACTTCACCACCAGGGCTCCAAGATAGAAGTTACTCATTCTTAATTTAAAAATATGACTAGTTATGGCTTTTCTATAAACAAAAAAAAAAAAAAAAAGAAGACTATGTCTAGTTGGGATTTGTTTGCTGAAAAACTCATGCTGTATGAAAAATTCCTTTGTTGCATTTATGGTTTTAATTTGGGACAAAGCTTACTAAAATGCATCTTAATGACCCAGATTAGGAATAATGGGTGAAGACTCAACAACAACAAAAAAAACCCAAACCTGTTGCCATTGAGACAATTCTGACTCGTGGTGACCCTGTGTGTTGTAGAGTAGAATTCCTCCACAGAGTTTCCTTGGCTGTAATCTTTATGGAAGTAGATCACCAGGCCTTTCTTCTGTGGTGCCCCTGGGTGGGTTCAGACTACCAACCTTTAGGTTATTAGATGATTGAAAAGTGCTTGTGCCACCCAAGGACCTTAAACCAGTTTCTCTTGCGTTGATTTTGACTCATGGCAATACCATGTGTTTCAGAGTGGAACCGTACTACATAGGATTTTCAAATGGGGTGACCTTTTGGAAGCCAGGCCTTTCTTCCAAGGCACCTTTGTGTGAATTCAAACTGCCAATCTTTTGCTTAGTAGAAAGCAACCGGGTTGTTTTTTGTTTTCCTTTTAATGCAATCAGACTCATTCCTTTATAACTCTCAACTATATGGGTGGTTGTGTACATTGAATTATGGTGTTGGCTAAGAATACTGAATATACCATGGACTGCCAAAAGAACGAACAAATCTGTCTTGGAAGATATACAGCCAGAACGCTCATCAGAAGCAAGGATGGTGAGATTACGTCTCACATACTTTACACATGTTAGTGGGAGGGACTGGTCCCTGGAGAAGGACATTGTGCTTGTTAAAGTAGAGGGTCATCAAAAAAGAGGAAGACCTTCAATGAGATAGATTGACACAGTGGCTGGGACAATGGGCTCAGACATGCCAATGATTGTGAGGGTGGTGCAGGACCAGACAATGTTGTGCTCTGTGGAACACAGGGTCTCTATGAGTCAGAACCGCCTCCACGGCACCTAACAACAACAACATACGCGTGAATATGGAGCCCTGGTGATGCAGTGGTTAAGTGCTCAGCTGCTAACTAAAAGGTCGGTGGTTCAAACCCACCAGCCGCTCTGCAGGAGAAAGGTGTAGCAGTGTGCTTCTGTAAAGATTTACAGCCTTGGAAACCCTATGGGGCAGTTCTACTCTGTCCTGTAGAGTCACTATAAGTCAGAAACGACTGGATGGCAAGGGGTGGTGCTGATACACATGAATGTATCCTCTTCCAAATCTCCCCTTATTTACAGTCACAATATATAACCATCACCTAATAGAGAGTGATACAAAATTACAGTTTGTATTACCTAGAAACTTCTAGAAACCTTCCCTATACTGTAGTATGAGTGGGGATAGGAAAGTGGAAAGTCCTCTTTGGGGAACCCTCAGTTTGTGGGGGAAAGTGTGGAGTACTACTTACCATTTAGGAATAAGAAGAATATATGATTATATAATAATAATATTAATAATGCCTTTATCTTTTTAAAGAGCACTTACATCCATTGTTACATTTGATTCTTTAGCTCAGTTGAACAAATATTTATTAAGTGGCTTCTTTATGCCAAACCCCATACTGGGGACACGAAGTCTCATTCAGGCATTCATTCAATAAATATTTAGTGACCACCTACCGCAGGCCAGGCACTATTCACGTTTTTGGGGACAGTAAAACTGGAAGAAAAAAAATCTGTGCTCTCATGAAGCTAAACTTTTTGTGAGAATAAGACAAGGTCTCTGCTTTCAAGGGCCTTAGGAAGTTATAAGGAAATGGTGAATACATCCTGGACCCTTCAGCACATGAGCAGAGTAGAAGGGTCACTAAGAGAGGTAGTCAGATGAATGCAGTGGATGTATGGAAGGGAGGCAGAGGGAATAGCTGAGCAGAAGGGAGGAGGCACGAGGTACCATGGGGTGTTTGACTGTGAAATACAAGTAGTGTGGTGTAGCTAGTACAGAGTAGAACTACTCCATAGTGTTTTCAATGGCTGTGACCTTTCTGAAGCGAGGCCTTTCTTCTGAGGCACCTCTGGGAGGATGGGGCAGGAGATGAATATGGGGAGCTTGACAGGTTTCAAATCACACAAGTTCTTACATTTAAGCTGAGGAGCTTATACTGCGTGGGTGGTCAGGAACCAATGAAAGGTTGAGGCAGGGACATGGGATTGGCGGCATTTAATTTCAGTAAGACAGCTTGGTCAGCAGTGTGGAGGACCAACTTGGCAAGGGAGGGGGAGAAATAGGAGAGCAAAGAGAGAAGGTAAAATCAGAATAGTTAGGAAGCTGTTGCCACAGTCCACGTAAGAGACGTTGAGGTTTTTAAAGGCAATGGCAGAAGGAATGCAAACGAACCAGTGATTTGACAATATAGGTGGTAAAATTGGTAAGATTTTAGTGCCCAGGATGTGTAGAGTGAAGGAAATGGAGGAATAAAAAGTCTATGAGTTTTTTTTTTCCTTTGGGATGACTGGGAGGACAGTGATTCTATTATATGGCCCAGGAAATATGTGCAGAAGAGCAGGATTTGGAGGTTAAATGATAAATCAAGGTTTTGAGGGTTGTGTTTGTGGTGACCATGTAGAAGACATTTACATACCTGAGTCAGAAGCTCTCAGGAGCTGTTAGGGCTGGAGGTAGAGATATGGGACTCATTTGCCATGTAAATGGTCAACCATGAACATGAGCATGCATGAGCTCATGAAGGGAGGACATACAGGGTTAGAGCAATAGCAAGTTGAGTTTCAATGAAGAACCCTGCTCAGCAGTGGCAGACGCAGCCTTGTTGGACAATGATTTAAAATGATCCATCTAACTTGGCAATAGAAGATCTTGAGTCACCTTGACTAGAACAGTTTCAGTGGCATGGGAGAGTGGTGTGATTGAGTTGGGGAGTATTATGGATTGAGTTGTGTCCCCTAAAATTTGTGTCAACTTGGCTAGGCCATGATTCTCAGTATTGTGTGATTGTCCACCATTTTGTCATCTGATGTGATTTTCCTATGTGTTGTAAATCCTACCTCTGTGATGTTAATGGAGCCTTGATGGTACACTGGTTAAGAGCTACGGCTGTTAACCAAAAGTTCAGCAGTTGGAATCCACCAGCTGCTCCCTGGAAACCCTATGTCGCAGTTCTAGTCTGTCGTACAGGGTTGCTATGAGTTAGAATTGACTTGACGGCAATGGGTATTTTTAATGGGTATGATGTTAAAGAGACAAGATTAGAGACAGTTATGTTAATGGGGCAGGACTCAATCTAGAAGATTAGATTGTATCTTGAGTCAATCTCTTTTGAGATATAAAAGAGAGAAGCGAGCAGAGAGACATGGGGACATCCTACCACCAAGAATGAAGAACCCGGAGGAAATCTGTCCTTTGGATCTGGGATTCCTATGCTGAGAAGCTCCTAGATCAGGGGAAGATTGATGACAAGGACCTTCCCCCAGAGCTGACAGATAGAGAAAACCCTCCCCTGGAGCTGACACCCTAAATTCGGACTTCTAGCCTCCTAGACTGTGAGATAATAAGTTCCTCTTTGTCAAAGCCATCCACTTGTGGTATTTCTGTTATAGCAGTGCTAGATAACTAAGACAGGGAGTTAGGAGGGAGACCACTTAGGGGTCATTTGGAACCATGAAAACGAAGACAGCAGATAATAAGGGACTCCTTCAAAAAACTTCCCTAAGAAGTGAAGGAAAGAGATAAAGAAGCTAGAGAGCGCAAGGGAATGAGGAAATTAAGATCGGAGAGCCTTGAAGATATCAATCAGCTAAGGGAAAGGAGCTAGTAGGTTAAAGAGGGTGAAGATACTAAAGAAAGGGGGTAATTGATGGAGTAAGACCCTAGAGAAGGCAAGAAGGAGGTATCAGGAGCACAGGTCAGTAGACTAATAGAAGAGGAGAGAGAAGAAAGGAGGTGGGGGGTCCAATGCAGAGAGATGTGTCAGTGGAGATGAGAATTTGAGAGGACTCTTATTCAATTACCTCAAATTAAAAAAAAAAAAAAATCCTTACAACAACCTGTGAGTCTGATCTCCTTGTTATTACTGCCGTTCTAAAGACAAGTAACCTCAGGCAAAGAAGGGTAAAATAACTTAATCAAGTTCAGTCAGTAGATAGTGACAGAACACTGAACACTGAAACATTGCAGCCCCGGCCTTCTTCTTCTTGGTGCCATTATGTAAATCAGCCCACACTCTCCCACTCTCCAAATGCAGCATGATAATGGGCTTTTCTGGGACTTCTACCCTCAGGCTTCCATTTTGAGATGAGAATCCCTCATCATGTGTGTTCTCCATGGTACAGGTGGAGGTCAGTGGCTCCCACCTTGCTTAGTAGCTATATTAAAGAATTGATTCAGTATAAGAATTATGTGTGAGCATGTTTCAAGTCTTGTCCCTTTGTAAATATTCATTGCAAAACCAAGGTTTACTTAGTGGATTTGAATTGCTTCCAGGTCACCTATTTTCAGTAGCCGTGTTTGAGGATCACGTGTGGTTCTCTGATTGGGCTTCCCCGTCGGTAATAAGGGTGAACAAGAGGACTGGCCAAAACAGGGTGCGTCTCCAAGGCAGCATGCTGAAGCCCTCATCACTGGTTGTGGTCCATCCATTGGCAAAACCAGGTACACTGGAGACGTTATAGTCTTTCTTTGGCTGGTATCTGTGACTATTTTCATTGTTTGATGACAGGGGTGGAGGGAGAGTTTGCATTTTTCACTAATCTGGGGAGATGTTAAGATTTCCCGAAATTTAAACTTCATTTAAACTAAGACAACTTGGTAGAGATTATGCAGTATCATTTCTTAGTAAATTTTTGCCCCAATTTCATCTTTTAGTTCCTAAACAGCTTACTTGCCTGTTAAATCTGCAAAGACCCTTGGGCTAAAGGCACGAAGCAGCAGCTTAGACACCTACTTACACTTGGGCCTTTCTCTACCCACCGAGAGTGCCCATGAGTGAGTGTCAGCCAGGAGTAAGCAAATAGAAAAGGCATCTGAGTCCTACAGCAGCTCTTCTGGCTGTGTTGCAATTTGTCAGTTTGAAAATGAAACAGGATCCATACCTCACAACATACACAAAAACTAATTGAAAATGAATCAAAGACCTAAATATAAAACCAAAAACTATGAAGATTATAGAAGAAAAGATAGGGTCAATGCCAGAGGCCCTAATATACAGCATAATAATAGGATACAAACTATAATTAACAATATATAAACACCAGAAGATAAACTAGATGACTGGGAATCTTGTAAAAATTAAACACTTATGCTCATCAAAAGACTTCATCAAAGGAGTAAAAAGAATACCTATAGACTGGGAAAAATATTTTGGCTATGACATATCTGACGAAGGTCTAATCTCTAAAATCTATAGGAAAATTCAGCACCTCTACAGCAAAAAGACAGATAATCCAGTTAAAAAATGAGAAAAGGTTATGAACAGACACTTCACCAAAGGAGACATTCAGGTGGCTAACAGACACATGAGGAAATGCTGGTGATCACCAGCCATTACAGAAATGCAAACGAAAACTACAATGAGATACCATCTCACCCTGCAATTGCTGGCACGAATAATAATAATAACAAAGAAAATAACAAATGTTGGAGAGACTGCGAGGAACTCTTATGCACTATTGGCAGGAATGCAAAATGGGACAACCATTTTGGAAAACGTTATGGCACTTCCTTAAAAAGCTATAAATAGAAATACCATACCATCTAGCAATCCCTCTCCTAGGAATATATCCTAGAGAAATAAGAGCCATTACATGAATAGACATATGCACACCCATGTTCACTGCAGCATTATTCACAATAGCAAAAAAATGAAAACAACCTAAGTGCCCATCAACAGATGAATGGATAAACAAACTACGGTACATATACACAATGGAATACTATGCAACGATAAAGAACAGTGATGAATCTGGGAAACATCTCACAACATGGATGAATCTGGAGGGCATTATGCTGAGTGAAATAAGTCAATCACAAAAGGGCAAATACTGTGTGAAACCACTATTATAAAAACTTATGAAAAGGTTTACACACAGAAGGAAACGATCTTTGATGGTTACTAGGGAGAGGAGGGTAGGGGAGGGGATGGAAAAACACTAACTAGACAATAGGTAAGTGGTAACTTTGGTGAAGGGTAAGACAGTACACAATACTGGGGAAGTCAGCACAACTTGACCAAGGCAAAGTCATAGAAACTTCACAGACACATCCAAACTCCCTGAGGGATAGAGTTACTGGGCTGAGGACTGGGGACCATGGTCTCAGGGGACATCTAGCTCAATTGGGATAACATAGTTTATAAAGAAAATGTTCTACATCTTACTTTGTTAAGTATCATCTGGGGTCTTAAAAGCTTGTGAGCAGCCATCTAAGATACTTCACTGGTCCCACCCAATCTGGAGCAGGGGAGAATGGAGAAAACCAAAGACGCAAGAGAAAGATTAGTCCAAAGGACTAACGGACCACAGCTACCACAGCCTCCACCAGACTGAACAGCACAATTAGATGGTGGCTTGGTACCACCACCAATTGCCCTGACAGGGATCATAATAGAGGGTCCTGGACAGAGCTGGATAAAAATATAGAAAAAATTCTAACTCACAAAAAAAGAGCAGACGTATTGGTCTGACAGAGACTGGAGAAACCCTGAGAGTATGGCCCCTAGACACTCTTTTAACACAGTATTGAAGTCACTTCTGAAGTTCACCCTTCAGCCAAAGACTAGACAGGCCCATAAAACGAGCAATAATACATGTAGCTCTACCATGTATATGAGATTAAATGGGCACACAGCCTGGGAGGAAGGACAAGAAGGCAGGAGGTGACAGGAAAGCTGGATGAATGGAAACGGAGAACCCAAGGTTGAGAAGGAAAGAGTGTTGACGTGTTGTGGAGTTGGCAACCAATGTCACAAAACAATATATGTATTGTTTAATGAGAAAATAATTTGCTCCATAAACCTTCATTTAAAGCACTATAAAAAAAATTATTTTCAGAAATTCATACTTATCTAGTAGGCATGGTTAGGTGACAGAATGACAGCAAATAAGTAAATTGATTTAACCATAAACCAGAATTGGATATATTAGGTTTTCAGAACTTTCTATTCATTGTTGCCTTAGGGTAATGGTCTGCAAACTTTTTGGTCTCAGGACTCCTTTTCGTTCTTAAAAGTTATTGAAACTCCCAAAGAGCTTATGTTTATGTGGGTTATATCTACCAATATTTATGGTATAAGATATTAAAACTGAGAAAATTTTTAATTCTATTTATTAGATGTCTATTAAAATAACAATAAACCCACTATTTATTACCATAATATATGTTTATGAAAATAACTATATTTCCCCCCAAAATATGTAGTAGAGTGGCATTGTTTTACGTTTGTATCTTTAATGTCTGGCTTAATAGAAAACAACTGGATTCTCATATCTGCTTCTATATTAAACCTGTAGCTATGTATTGTTTTGGTTAAAGTATATGCAGAAAACCTGGCCTTAGACAGATATGTAGTTGGAAAAAAGAGGGCTATTTAATAGCCTTTTCAGATGCTTTTGTAGATATTCTTCTTTTGATATTATACCAGAACTTGACAGGTGGTAGTTTCCTAGAGGTTAGTTCCAACGTGGAATCTGTACACATATCAACAAGTTTTTTGGCTCCTGCTATGTTAAAATCCATTGGTTTATTTTACACATTGAGTGAAAATTTTATATGTATGCAAATTTTGTAATATCTTGCTTTGGTCATTTGAAAAGATTGGTTGACAGAGTTATAAAGATCTTCCAAATGCCACATTAATATACAAAAAAATTACATTAATTGGTTCTCACCATTGAACTAATCAGAAAAGTCTTTTAATATTGAGAAGCTGTCAAGCTCAGAGTAGTGGAAACAAATTTTCCAAAATTCTACTTTTCACTTGAAAACCCAAATTTTATCATTGGCAATAAATACTGTCAGGTGCTTTCCCTAAAGTGATGGGCTCATTTCGATGATTTTTGAGACAGTGCTTGCCAAATGCCTAGGTCTTAGTAACACAGTTTGTCAGTCATTCTTTCAAGAAAAAATGATGTTCAATGAAAAAAGAGACTAGTTTCAGCTTGCAACTCAAAAATCTCATAAATGCTTTACCTTCAGACAAATGTCATAGCTTAAGTATGTACTAGGAGTATTTTATTACACAGAATAAGCTGCATATTCAATAGTAGAGGTTTAAAAAAGTTAACCATACTTTCTGCTTCATCATGGATCTTCTTAAGGGGAAATGGATTTTTTTTTTTTTTTAAGTAAATGTGAAAGTGTGGTGATGAACAATGTAACTGCTAGTAGAGTTTGGTGTTACTGCCTTGATTCATACTAAAGCACCAGCAATTTTGCCTACAAGTATGCATGTCAACACATGAAGAAGGCAGATAATATCATAGTATTGTTACGAAAATAGTTTTGACCTTATGGACCCCGTGCAATGGGACCTTCCACACTTAGAGAACTGCTGTTCTAGGGAATCCATTTCTTTCATGTTCTGGGGGTTGCATGGGTCCCATCCTTATGCTAAATCATAGTTTGTTTATGCTCTTCCACATTTTCAAATATAGGTTAAAAAGAAGCTAAGTAAGTGTCAGGAGCAGCCTTGAAGGAGGAATATGTATGGCGGGTGGATTGGGATGATCATCTCACTAATTTGCCCTGGTGGTGCAGTGATTAAGAGCGACAGCAAGCTACCGCTGCTAAACAAAGGGTGGGCAGTTCGAATCTGCCAGCCACTCCTTAGAAACCCTATGGGGCAGTTCCACTCTGTCCCACAGCATCGCTATGAGTTGGAATTGACTCGACAGCAACGGGTTTGTGTTGTTTTGTTTTGCTTTGATTTTAATGGTGGGCTGTGCTTATGAACTATGTTCATAAGGACTTTTGATATTTTACTCTTGATGTTTTTGCCAGTACTTGAAAGAGTACTATCTTTCTTCTTATTCCTGCCAACTATCAAGTGCAAGGAGTAAAGCTGGGAGAGTGTGCTATCACCAAGAGCTTTTCCTAGTTACTAAGATTCTGCCTATTTCCCTGAATCCTCTTACTGTAAGAATGAGTCTGAACTTACAACCAACAGCCATAAATATAAATTAAATATTAAAAAAAACAAAACCCACTGCTGTCAAGTCAATTCCAAGGCTGCAAATCTCTGCAGAAGCAGATTGCCACATCTTTCTTCTGCGGAACCACTGGTGGTTTCAAACAGCCGACCTTTTGGTTGGCAGTCCAACACTTTAACCACTGTGCCACCAGGGCTCCTTAACTAAATATTACTTTCCTTGAGTCCAAAAAGTTAAATTAATTACATCTGTTAACCTTGAACAGGTAGTGAAGCAGATCTAAGTAATCAAGTAACGCCACTGGACACCTTATCCACGAGTCAAGCCTTTGAAGATAACATTACAGAAGGATTGCAATCTCAATACACGCTAGTGGCTGAAATCATGGTGTCAGGTATGAATAATGAGTTCTCCGATACAACTTTGATTCCAAAATTTTCATCATACCGATTAGAAATTCTGAATTCTCTCTCTAACTTAATGTTCATCATACCAATTAGAAATTCTGAATTCTCTCTCTAACTTAATGTCGGCTAAATCTACACAAGACCAAGGAAGCCAAACTTTGGAGAAGTCCTCCTGTTCTGAATGGTGCGCTTGAGGACAATGACTCCGTATTAGGCTGGACATAAGCTTTGCTTGGTGAGAGTCTTTGGACTAAATGTTGTTTGAAGAAATATAGCTTGGAAACAAAGGTGAAAAATAGAACAGAATAGATTTGATTGTATCTCCATCCACACTTAGCATTTTTAGTATTTGGCCCATCTCTAGTTGTCCTTCTGTTAGCGTGACAAGTAGGTAGTAATCGATAAACAAATAGAGGTTGTTTTCTTCAACTGCTCCACAGGGTCTACACAAAGTAAGTGTTAGAATTCTTACATAGGGCACATTTAGCACAAAAATGCCATATAATTTGTTCAGTGCGTAACAACTTGAGGGAAATTCAGTCTTTTTTTTAATCCTGTTTTTTCCTTTTTTTTAAATTGTGCTTTAGATGAAGGTTTACAGTGCAAACTAGTTTCTCATTAAACAATTAATACACATATTATTTTGTGATATTGGTTGCCAACCCCACGACGTGTCAACACTCTCCCCTTCTCGACAGTGGGTTCCCCATTATGAGCTTTCCTGTCCCCTCCTGTCTTCTCCTCCTTGCCCCTGGGCTGGTGTGCTCCTTTAGTCTCATTTTATTTTATGGGCCTGTCCTAATCTTTGGCTGAAGGGTGAACCTCAGAAGTGATTTCATTACTGAGCTATAAGGGTGTCCAGGGGCCATACTCTCAGGGGTTTCTTCAGTCTCTGTCAGACCAGTAAGTCTGATTTTTTTTGTAGAGTTAGAATTTTGTTCTACATTTTTCTCCAGCTCTGTCTGGGACCCTGGTCTTTTATGTTCTATATTCACTCATGAGGCCAATGATTTTCGAACTGAGCTTAGCTCAACCCTAGGGCTTCCGCGAACCCAACCCTCCTTCACTCCAGGTTACTGCCCTTCAATCAATCCAACTCCACTTAGAAACTTTTTTAAAATTTATATTTCTGAATAAAATTTTATAAAAAAAGTTGGAAAACGCCACGTCAGGACATTGGATACATTAAAGAAGTGCTTATTCAACTTCCGTGGTGTGCAGACTACATTATAGATATCAGAGACTCTGTTGACCTTTTACTCCATCTTACAAGAACGTATCAGTGTGATTTTTGATAAGATATAAACAAAAAGCTGCACATTTTTACTACTAATAATAACATTTATATGGAAATTATGAATTTACCAAGCCCTTTAAATATAGTCCCTAATTTGATCTTTATCACAACCATCAGTTTGCAGATGTAAAAACTGAGACTAAGATAATAATGACTTGACCAAAGGTTTTTTTTTAAAATAGCGACTGTCATGGATTGAATTGGTCCCCCAAAATCTCTGTCAATTTTGCTAGGTCATGATTTCCAGTATTGTATGATTGTCTACTATTTTATCATCTGATGTGAGTTCCCTATTTGTAAATGCTATCACTATGATGTAATAAGATGGATTAGCAGCCGTTATATTGATGAGGTCTGCAAGATTAGATGGTGTCATAAGCCAATCTCTTTTGAGATATAAAAAAGAGAAACGAGCAGAGAGATAGGGGGACCTCATACCACCAAGAAAGCAGTGCCGGGAGCAGAGCGCGTCCTTTGGACCTGAGGTTCCTGCGCTGAGATACTCTCAGACCAAGGGAAGACTGATGACAAGGACCTTCCTTCAGAGCTGACAGAGAGAGAAAGCCTTCCCCTAGAACTGATGCCCTGAATTTGGAGTTGTAGCCTACTAGACTGTGAGAGAATAAATTTCTCTTTGTTAAAGCCATCCACCTGTGGTATTTCTGTCACAGTAGCACTAGATGACTAAGACAGTGAGTAAATAATTCATGCCAAGATAAGAAACACTGGAAGACATTGTCACGTTAAGAATATAATAGATTTAGGTGCAGTGGTTAAGTGCTCAGCTGCTAATTAAAAGATCAGTAGTTCGAACCCACTAGGTGCTCCGCAGGAGAAAGATGTGGCAGTCTGTTTCGGAAAAGATGACAGTCTTGGAAACCTTATGGGGCAGTGTTACTATGTCCTGTAGGGTTGCTATGAGTTGGAATTGACTCAACAGTGGCAGGTTTCGTGTGGTACTAAGCGGTAGGGGTATCATGATGAGTTAAATATAGTCCCAGACCCCAAGGTTACAGTCTGATGTGGAGACAATATGATAAAATAAAACTCCATGCATCAATATTAGCAGTATAGAGAACCTTTTCAAAGTCACCAGAGACCGTACAAGTCCATAGAGCATATTTTAAAAGGTAAATGTTTGAGGAAATTAAAGACCAAAATAAATGACAGATAGTAAATTGGGTACGTGGTGGGATGGGGGAGCAATGAAATGACCAAAGATTTGTGAGTACATAGATAATAGGCTGTGTTTAACCTCATACCAGGAGACTATACTCTGCCAAGTACAGAATAGATGGAACTGATTATCTTGGTGAAAAATACCCTGTCTTGCCATTCGTAGATTGTGTTCTACTCCATCCTAGCCTGTAAGATTTTAGTTTCATCTGGTTTAGGCTATGAGGTCTTATTCATGTTTCAGAATGAGATTTCATTTAACTCCACATTAGGATTTTAGAGTAAAATCTAAAATTGTTAGCATGGCCTCTGGGGCCCTTCACGAACTTGCCTTTACTCCCAGCCTTACCAGCCTCAACTCCCTTCTGCCATTGACTTTGATGGACTGCTTCCATTACACTGGCCTTGCCTGTGATGTGCACATGCTGGATTCTTGGCCCATAATGCTCTTTATAACTCTTCGAACCCCTATCTATCCTTCAGATCTCAGCTCAGTGTGCTTTTGCTCAGAAAGCCTTTCTAGTCCCCTGACCAGGTGAGGTTGTTCTACTACATACAGCCCTCTTAGAACTCAGGACTGTTCTAGATAGTCTGGTACTGTACTTCAATAACCAGTTGTCAAGACAGCAGAGTCCTTGTCTATATTTGTCACCTCTATATCTTTGGCCCTCATTAGGGTCTAGTATGTGGTATTGCTGTTGTTAGGTGCTTTTGAGTTGGTTCCGATCTGTAGTGACTCTGTGTACAACAGAAGGAAACACTACCCAGTCCTGTGCCATCCTCACAATCGTTGCTATGTTTGAGCCCATTGTTGCATGTGGTAGGCACATTTAAATGAATTTTACTAACGGGCTTGTGTGATGAGGCTAATTCTGATTCAGGTCGTCGCAATACTCTTCCTTTATCATTCTTGTTTAGGTGGGTATAATCTTTTATAACTTTCAAAGGATTTTTTTTTTAATCATTTTTTTCTTTCAGTCCTTATGACAATCGTGTGAAGTTGACTGGGCAAAATTGTCATACATATTTTAGAGCAAGAGCAAGTTTGTGGCAGAAAGAAATTTGACTGTAGATGATGCCTCTTACAACTATATCCCTGCTATATCCATTGCTTTTCATTATGCAAAGTTGCCTTGGGGTTTACAAGTTACCAAATAAACCCTGAATCATATTCTAATTTAGGATAATTCTACAAGTGATTTAAAATGTCTTGGGTCATTGCATACCGTCCACCATACAGTATGAGCAGCCTTGTGATTTGGGAACTAGTCTCCCAAGTAAATGCCGAATGGGTAATTGATTTAGTGGGACCTTCTCTGTCTCTACGGGTCGTGAGCTACAGGAAATGATCAAGCAAGCATGAAAATCGTGTTCCCACAAAAGAAATTTCGCTCAAGCAGCTAAGCAAATCAAATGCAATTACGCGATGTCTGCTTTCACAAAGCAATGGAATCCTGCTTAGATCATTGAACATTCTTTAATTTATGGGCAAGTTTGAAGGGTTTCTTTTACCTCGTCTTCTACGCTCAGATGAGCAAACTTACTGGTGAGTAGGCAGATGATAGTTTACTCTCCTATTAGAAACCCTCAACTCCAGAAAAGAGAAGGCATGATTATAGAAATAAGTAGTTATAACAAAAAAAAAAGAAAAGAAAAAACTTGCCTATGTTTATGACTCAACATGTACCTCTGTCCCCTGAGGCATTTACATTTCAGTGGAGTATGAAATGAAATGATCGATCTACTGCGTTTAGTTTGTATGGTTGATGACTTTGTAAAAGTGCCTCGAGGTTTTCAAGTCACTGCGTAAATCTTGATAATAAACATGCATTGTGACATATATATTTTATTATCTATGAAATACAATTTTAGTAAATTGACAGTAAGAGTTTTTATGATTGAATCTTTTTGTCAGGCTGCTACACAAATTTACTTGCTACGTATTGGTCTGTGTGTCTATGTAGAATAAGAATATATTGACCCCCTTTGTATGTCGTGGGAGAAAGGTGTGGCACTCTGCTTCCGTGAAGAGTACAGCCTTGGAAACCCTATGGGGCAAGTCCTACTCTGTCCTTCAGAGGCGCTATGAGTCAGATCTACTCGACGGCAATGGGTTTTGGGTTGTGTATCAGAATAGTTGGGAGTTTTCAAATAATTAATAAACCTTTTGAAATTTGCATCCCATTTGTTCCTAGCAATTTTATAGTGCAAATTTGCTAACACTTAAAAAAAAAAAAAAAACTTTAAATAAGATCACACAGTACTCCTTGAATACCAAATAATTCTTTAAGACTTTTGAGAGCATATGTGTTGAAAGCATGTAAAGACGTGAAAACAAATGTCTTATGGATCCTTTGGAACCCTGGTGGCACAGTGGTTAAGAGCTCGGCTGCTGACCAAAAGGGCAACAGTTCGAATCCACCAGCCACTCCTTGGAAACCCTATGGGGCAGTTCTACTCTGTCCTATAGGGTCGCTATGAGTCAGAATCGACTGGATGGCAGCGAGTTTGGTTTGGTTTGGGATGGATCGTTTAATATACATATAGCTTGTTGTTGTTAATCGCCACTGAGTTGGCTTCAACTCACGGCAACCTAGACAAAAGAACGCAATTTTGCCCTGTCCTGGGCTATCTCCATGATCTTTGATAAGTTTGAGCCCATTGTTGAGGAAATAACTATAGCTTATAGGTCAACAAAGTGTTTCTACTTGGAAGCTAACATGTCCAGAACTTGGGAAAGAAAGTGCTGGAATGTTCTGCAGAACCCAGAAAATTAAAGTCCATTTTCTCCTCAGAGGTTTGGAAATAATCAAATAGGCTTCTCACTGTTTGCAGATCAAGATGACTGTGCTCCTGTGAGATGTGGCCCACATGCTCGATGTGTTTCAGAGGGAGACAACGCCACATGTCAGTGTTTGAGAGGATTTACTGACAATGGAAAACTATGCTCTGGTAATACCAAAGACCAAACATACATAATACCTGGAAAATAGTGAGCCAGAAACATTCTTTCAGCTAATACTGACTCAAAATCCTCAGAAGGATTGATGGAATCAGCAAGATTGAATAAATTATTTGATAGCCCTGGTGACTCAGTGGTTAAGAACTTTGCTGCTAATCAAAAAGTTGACAGTACAAATCCACCAGCCTGTCCTTGGAAACTCTATGGGGCAGTTCTACGCTGTCCTATAAGGTCACTATGGGTCAGAATCGACTCAGTGACAATGGATTTGGGTTTTTTAAAAAGTAGCTGGTGGATAACATGCATATAATGTATGAGACATTTAATATATTGTTACAGTGTATTGAGTTTAACTTAAAATTCTACAATACATGCATTTGACATTCAGGGGAAATTTGATAATTAGCTTCAGAAGCTAATATGAGTTCAAGTCAAATTTATAAATTTACTGATTCCAATAAAAACACAACCTTTTTTTTTTCATTTTCCCCCAGACATTTAAGTTTTAGTCAGAAAAGTAAGTTGTAATGGATAGGTTTCTATTTTACGCTGATAGCCTCAAAATTATGTTAGTGATTTTTAGAAAATATCACAGTCCTTATGGTCTGGAACTCTGGCACAAAGTGTTTTATTTACATATCCTTAACGAATCAGACATGTGAGAACCTAGTAAAAACTGACAATCGATCCAGAAATGAACTTTATGTCCAAGATGCAGGGTTCAGATTACATTTTCCAACAGTAACTGTGAACAGCTGAATGATTGTTGCTGATTCTTTCCTACTATTTCCATTTCCACCAGGATTGCCTGTATATTTCACTACCTTATAATTTCACCTACAGATATAGACGAATGTGAGAAGGACATCACAGTTTGCGCTGTGGCCTCATCCCAGTGTATCAATACGGAAGGTGGCTATGTCTGCAAGTGCTTAGAAGGCTACCGAGTAGATGGAATTCACTGTATCGGTAAGACAGCGGCAGACGGGCGAGGGCAGACTCGGGCCTCAGGGAATCATGAAGCACTGTGGGTGCCGTGGGCCAAGAGAAGACAGGATATAACTGGAGTTGTATACATGTCAAGACTAAAAGAGGAGTTGTGTGACCTGTTCAAACTGATGTATTTCAGTGCTTGGTAAATACTCAAATTTGTGCCTCTGTGCTTTGACTCAATCAATCGACTTGATAGCAACGGGTTTGGTGTTTTGTATTGGTTTGTACTATGCCTGAACCAGTCAGCTTCAAGATGTACAGGAGCTCCTTAGCCCTCTCCCTTGCTGATTTTTCTCTGAGATTCCAGTGACAATCGTGTCTCATCAACACGTCGTATCTGCAGCCATCGCGGGGGGACGGGGAATTGGTCAGCATTTTCTTTGTCATTGAACATAGCGACCAAACTGTGGTGAATTGCAGAGTTGGTGTAGGTTTGCTGGACGTCACTGCTGTGTGCAAAAACAGAAAACGGGTGTCATTCTGTGTCAGGGCTCATCTGGTAACTCTTGATAGACTGAATAGTTGGGAGATTCAAGCTACTGATATTTGGATGCAAATAAAGAATCATTAAAACCTCTTTCATAATCACCAGCCCCTGCCAAGGTCTGGGTGTGGCTCGTTGAGTTGGGAGTTCACTTTGTAGATGTCTTGAACCTGTCCGGCTGTCAGCAGTATACCATCGCCAGACAAGTGAGCACCTGCCTGCTGTCATCTGGGGCTCAAAGAGTGGTTACCTGAAGTTTTATGGGACTTCTCAATTTCTCTTTGAGTATTTTCTTTTTTTGGAAAACATAAAGATCTTTTCCCAGTGATGGGCAGATGCCTCAGTAAGAAGCAAAAATGGCGCTGCTTTCTCCCACATGTTAAGGTTAAACCTGAAATATCCGTCATAACCACCAATTTTCTGGATTGGGTTGGTTTGAATCAGCCTTTATCAGATGAATTTTCTGGAGTCCACAGACATCCTTAATGCTCTTGTAAGCATATACTTGGCTGTCAGTCAGGAAAATGTTACGACTCTTGTTAAGCAGGCTCATAGATAATTTAGACAAACAGGCTTTATGTTTTATTTGCTTTGAAGAGAAAGGAAGGTATCCTTTCTTGGATATTTGAAGTCTTTAGATTCTGGATACTAGCTCTTACTAAGCTGCTTCCTTGCGGTAGTGAACAAGGAACATGGCACCGTGGCCCTGCTTGCCTTCCTGGCTGGCTGGTGTCCTCAGGGCCCCGTGGAAGCTGTGGGCTTGTTCCTGTTTGCTTGCTTGCTCCTGTGGGCGAGCTCTCACTCTCGCTGAGAGTTCAATGAGATTAAAACAGGAAATCAGGAAAAAAATAAAAAAGGAAGTCAATTTGGGCCATTCACAGTAACAATTTGGTGTGACAAATATTTAATCGGTCCCTATCAGGTTCGAAACAACTATATTATTAGGTATTAGAAACCGTGAGGAATGGCAAGATGATGAAGGCAGTCTTTGCTTGCAAGGAGTATATGCTCTAAAAGAAATGCAGCTTTTATAAATGGTGAAGAAAGTTACTCATCGTAAGAGAAGTAAAAACCACAATGGAAGTTCAGAACATGGAGATATCATATCCGGTCATAGAAAAAGTGCCTTTTAAGGTGGACCTTTGGGGATGAGTGAATTTTCATCAGGCAGAAATGTGAAGGGATGGAGAACATTCCAGGCATGAACAAATCACAGGTCTTATTGGAAGGGTAGAGACAGCCTAGTGGGAGCTAAATATAGGTTATAAGTGAAGGAATAGCTGAAATTGAGGCTCATAGGGTGGGTTGAGTTAGTTTGCAGAAGACTAGAACCAAGGATGAGTCCTTGGGATTTTAATTCTCTAAGTCAGTGACGTCCAGTAGAAATATAATTTGAGTCACATATGTAATTTTAATTTTCTACTAGCCACATTATAAAAGTAAAAATAAATGGGCAAAATTAAGTTTAATAATATATTTTATCTACTCCAGTGTATCTAAATATTAGCATTTTAATATGTAATCAATATAAAAAAATTTTAGTGAGATATTTTACATTATTTTTGGTACTATGTTAGCTTCATAGGACTGCTGTAGCTAATTACCACAAACTTGGTGGCTTAAAACAACAGAAATTTGTTCTGTCACAATTCTGGAGCCCAGAAGTCCAAAATCAAGGTGTCACAGGGAATGCTTGCTTTGAAAGCTCGAGGCCTTCCTTTTCTCTTCCCGGCTTCTGTGGCTCCCAGTAATCTTTGGTGTTCTTGGTTTACGGCTGCATCACACCAATCTCTGCCTCTCTTGTCACATGGCCTTCTTGCCTGCGTCTCTGTGCTCTTTTTCCTTCTTATAAGAACACGAGTCATTGCATTTAGGGCTCCACAATCCAATATGAGGAAACCCTGGTGGTGCGGTCGTTAAGAACTATGCCTTGCTAACCTAAAAGTCGGCAGTTTGAATCCACCAGGCACTCCTTGAAAACCCTGTGGGGCAGTTCTACTCTGTCCTATAGGGTTACTATGAGTCGGCATTGACTTGATGGCAGTGGGTGATCCAATATGACCTCATTTTAACTTGATTATATCTGCAAAGACCCTATTTTCAAATAAGATCACAACCACAGGTCCTGGGATTTAGGATCTGAATATATCTTTTGGGGAGACACAAGTCAACCCACTATAGGTACTAAGTCTTCAAAATCGGATGTGTATTTTATGCTTATAGCACATCTCAACTCAGATCAAGATGTATTTCAGATGCTCAATAGTCACATATGGGTCGCCGCTATATCATATTGGACAACAGAGCTTTAAGCAAAGGGGAGTCGCTCAGGTATTTGAGTGAAGTGGTGCAATGATGGGAAATGTGGTTTAGAAAGATTAATTTGGTACTGGTGTTTAGGAGTGGAGCATGGGAGAGATGGGATATAGCGGAATCTAGTAGGCTGCTTTTCTTGTAGTAAGGTAATTAATTGAGAAGTAAGGGTCTAAATGTTCGGGTGGTGGTAGTTGAGAAAGAAAAAGATGGCTAGTTGGGAATGAATGGGATGATTTAATTTTTATTTATGACAAAGCAAATATGTTTTATTTGACATAACGTGTATGTCAACGGATGAACGTCTATTGGCAGAAGTATGAACCTTTAGGATCTGAACTTCTAAATGTCTGTCTAAAGATAGTTTACCAGCCTCCAACTTTGCCCACTTAGCTGCTCATGTTGGGAAGTCTCCTTCGTTCCTTTTAAGGAGTAAGAACCCGTCCAGCCTTAAGTCAGGAGCTTGGAACACCTGAGTGGGTGTACAGCCAAGGCACCCAAATCATCTCTCCCTCCAACATTCACAGTCGTATTTTTCTGTTTGTTTTTAAATTGGAGTAAATACACATAAGTAGCAAAACATTTGCCACTTCAACATTGTCACAAGGACAGTTCCCTGACATTACATATGGTCATCATGTTGTTCCACCATCAGCATTAACCATTCCCTAATTTTTCCATCACCCTTCACAGAAGCTCAATACCCCCCAAGCCTTGTGCCTTCCTTTCCCCGTCACAATCGTATTTTTAAGCCTAAAAATGTGTAGGGCTCTGAGAACATGGAGTATGACAGAAGTTGAAGATACTCCCCTTCCAGAATGTTGGGTTTTCCAAATGTATAACCCTCTTTCCTCCCCTGTACCCCCATTTTCTCTCCCCTATTCCTACTTTTCTGACAGATACTGCTGAGTGCCAGCTGGGCGTGCATACCTGTGGAGAGTATGCCACCTGGACAAACACGTGTGCCTGTCTGAACCTGGACGGACTTGCCCTGGCAGATTGGTGGGCAGTCTGGATAAGAGGCGAGGGGCTTCGTTCAGAAAAAAACCTGTTCCCTGGTGTGTTTGCGCTTGACAGTCTAGAAATTATTCTGTTCAAACAGGCTGGACAGTTAACTTTCATGATTGGTTGGTGCAGGGCTTGAGAATTTGAAATGGTCCAAATTGTCTTCATTTAATAGCATCTGGAATAAATCCTTTTTTATTACTCACAACTCAGTAAAGGTGGGAACACAGGTGGTTCTCTTTAACTCTGCATCTAATCTCCTGATTTGTAATGTTGATTTCTGGGGCTGCTGGAAAAACTTTGCAGAGCTAGGAAGTTCCACGAGGATGCCTGGACTCTTAATATTTTGAATCACTTTCAAGGATTTTAACACATTACTTGAAAAATTCACCATTTCTTTATCTGAATTAGAACTCCAGCTCTCTTTTCTTTCTTTGTAAATGTTCATAATGGTCTCCTGCTTCCTAAACCTTCTGACCATGTTGCAGGATCTTTTTACTATCAGCCTCAGATGGGGACCAGGCTTCACCTGGACCCCTAAACAGGATTGATGGTCCTTTTCACATCACCTTACCGCCAGCTACTTTCCTCTCTCAGCTCTGCAAACGGAAAACACCCTAAGGAAGGTGTCTTAGTCATCTAGTGCGGCTCTAACAGAAATACCACGAGTGGATGGCTTTAACAAAGAGAAGTTTATTCTCTCACGGTCCAGTAGGCTACAAACCCAAATTCAGGGCGTCAGCTCCAGGAGAAGTTTTTCTCTCTCTGTCGGCTCTGGAGCAAGGTCCTTTTGATGCATCAGTCTTCCTTTGGTCTGGGAGCAGCTCAGCGCAGGAACCTCAGGTCCAAAGGACGCGCTCTGCTTCCAGCACAGCTTTCTTGGTGGTATGAGGTTCCCATGTGTCTCTGCTCGCTTCTCTCTTTTATATCTCAAAAGAGATTGGCTTAAGACACTATCCAGTCTTGTAGGCGTCATCAGTATAACCTCATCATAGTGACAGAGTTTACAACACATAACGAGATCACATATAACCTCATCATAGTGATAGAGTTTACAACACATAAGGAAATCACATCAGATTACACAATCATACAATACTGGGAATCATGACCTAGCCAAGTTGACAGATATTTTGGGGGGACATAATTCAATCCATGACAGAAGGGAAGTTCTGCACTTGCTTGGGTCTCTGCTTTCGTCATTGTTAACCACTGTCTAGTCATGGCAACCCCATGTGTTACAGAGTAGGACAGCTTATGGGGTTTTCTTGGCCATAATCTTTATAGAAGCGGATCGCCAGGCCTATCTTCTGTGGACCTGCTGGCTGGGTGGGTTCAAACCTCCAATCTTTAGGTTAGCAGCTGATGGAAAACCACTTGTGCTACCCAGGCTCCTCCTCTGTTTTTTTAGCACCCTATTTAACTCAAATAATTTGCTCTTCTTAAAGGCACTGAAAAGTACTACTATTTAGATAGCTAAACATCTTAATGATTTTCTTCTAAGGAGCAGTGAACCACTCGATTAATGGACTATCACACTGGCATGCCCTTCTGTTACGATAACATTTCCTTTCTGTCAAAGTTGTTACAGTCTTGGCTTTGGAGGTTTCTCTGAAAGTTCAATAGTTTTTAGAAGAAAGCATTGTGTGAGGGGCAGTTTTGAGACTCCTAGGAGCCCTGGTGGTGCGGTGGTTAAGCTGTTAACCAAAAGGTCAGCAGTTCAAATCCACCAGCTGCTCCTTGGAAACCCTACAGGGCAGTTCTACTCTGTCCTATAGGGTCGCTATGAGTTGGAAATGACTCGACGGCAACGGGTTTGGTTTTTGTCTTGTAGGATATTGGGGGTAACGGACTGTGTGCTGGTGGTTAGTTTTTAAACCATAAAGGAACACTGCTTGTTTAGTGAGACATTTTTAAAGCTAGCTGTCATTTTCCAGGGCTGGTGTGTGTTCGTGGATGACAGAGTTGCTTTCACAATGGATTAGCAACTATATGGTGACACAGGATTGACCATACTCTTAATTGCTTCCAATGTGCTTTGTATCAAATAATGCTGAACCCACAGATAAAAGAGCTGGCTTTGATGACGATGACATAAGGTCTGGGGAGGGAAGTGAAACTATTGTTGCTCACGGTAGTTCTGTTGTCACCAGAAGACACTGTTTCACAAATATTCATCGAAACTAGTTCTTGATATTGATATACCCTGAAAAAGCCCTAATCCCTTCAGAAAATGAAAGTAATGCCTTTGATTCTTCTAGACACAACTCCACCCTCTCATCTCGGGAAAGATGATCTCCATCCCGTCAGACATATCTACCCTGGATGTCCCCCGTCACACGACGGGTACTGCCTCAATGGTGGTCTATGCATGTATATTGAACAAGTAGACGAGTACGCGTGCAAGTAAGTTAAAACTGTCTTTCAGATATGACATTGAAGCCCTTCCCTTTTAGCTAATACAGGAAGTTTATATTGAAGAGCTTTCTACAGTTAGATTTCTCCTTAGGGAACAAATATATAAATATACACATATAAATTGTGTGTGTGTGCACACGTGTGCCCCCGTGTGTGAGTGTGCTTCTACTGTACCCTCCCCATATCTTCTCCTTCCAACGGCCAGTGGAAAGTGTAAATCTAAGGAATTAGTGACTTTCCCTTTTGCTTAAATAACCTGATGTTACGTAAGTATATTGTCGTTTTTAGTTGCCATGGAGTTGTCCTCTGGCGCATAGCAACCCCACACACAATAAAACAAAACGCTTCCCAGTCCTGCTCCGTCTTCATGGTTCATTTTGGGTTGGACCATTGTGCTTCATAGGGTTTTCATTGGCTGATTTACAGAAGTAGATTGCCAGGCCTTTCTTCCTAGTCTATCTTGGTTTGGAAGCTCCCCTGAAACTTGTTCAGCATCACAGCCACACACAAGTCTCCACTGACAGATGGGTGGTGGCTGTGCTTGAGATGCATTGGCCGGGAATCGAGCCCAGGTCTCCCACAAGGAAGGCAAAAATTCGACCACTGAACCACCCCTTTACTGTAAGTAGAGTCTGGAGACGAAACTTATTCTGGTTGAAAAACTTGGATTTGTGAGAGAATTCCTTAAAACCTTGATTTATTTCCTGCCAAACATATGGAGCATCCACGACGTGTTTCTGGATTTACAAAAGTGTCGTACATATTCATTGAGTCCCTGGGTGGCGTAAATGGTTAAACACTGGGCTACTAACCAAAAGGTTGGTGGTTCGAAACTACCCAATGGCACCTCGGAAGAAAGGCCTGGCCATCTGCTTCCAAAAGGTCACAGCCCTGAAAACTGTGGAGCACAGTTCTGCTCTGAAACACTCAGCTTCGCCAAGAGTCTGAATCTACTCCACGGCAGCTGTTTGGTCGGTTACTAGTACAGATACACAACTGGACTTCTTGCCTCTGATTTTCAAAACGAAAACATTTTTTTCCTTCACTTTCAAATAGCTGATTTTCACCTGTTTGTGGTTTAGTAACAATTGCTGGATGTGGCAGCTTTTCCTTTTTACTCCCTCCTCTCAGCCCCCCATGGTGGCTTCACGGTGGGCAAAGAGTCAACCTGAAAACTGGATTTGAGGAAGGCCTAAAGCTATGGAGGTACTTCCTCTGTGCTCACTTGGCAAACTATTCTTGGGGCCTTTGATAAAACACAGACTCACCATATCTAGTGCTGCATCAAATTTGACTTTTAATTAATTTCATATTTTCAAAGCACTATGAGGCAGCTGCTGATACTGAAAAGTAAATAGGTCACCCATGGCTAGACTCTTGATGTACTGGGCTTTTTCTCTGTGCCTGAGGACGGAGTGATAAAATATTCTGATCCTCACAAATAGATGTTATAAGCTTAAAGGCTTTTATTATTTTATCAATAATAATGAGCCGAAGGGTAGTCTAAATTATTAGAAGAACAAGTTATATTCTGTGGCAGTGTGTGGCCTTGTATTTTCAATCATGTCAGACTGACAGAAATGCGAAATGCTCGTGAACATTAGTCAAAATGACTCAGTTCTCATAGAATTCTACTTTATGTTCATATTCACTTGCTTTGTTTAAACTAATATAAATACAGGACTTAAAATAGTTTTCTTTGATCTTAATTTTGAGAAACAAATTGTTTTTAACCTTTTTATTGTTTCTTATTATTCCAAATAATCAAATTATTGAAAGAAAAGTCCTTGTTTATTAGGTCACAGTTTGTTTTTCTCTAGGACACTTCAAGTTTGGATTATAAAAGACATTATAAGAATATAATGGGTATTGCACTGTATTTAGGAGAGTATTTTTATTTGGACCTGATAGCGTCGATTCACTAAATGATTGATGAACTCTTTAGAACACTGCTTTTCTTTCTGTCATTAAATCCTGATGAAAATACCCGAGTTCCCTGATAATGTTTTATACCTGAGTTGCTACAGGATCACAATTAAACTGGAGATAACATTCAAATTTAAGAACCTTTAATCCAAAAGCAATATTTAATGTATCACCAGAGTTCACAGTAATCAGGACCATAGCTTTGTTCTGGAATTCTAAAATGTGGTTCAGTTCAAGAATTCAACCCTTCCTTCCTGGTGAATTCACCTTATGTTTTTTTTAATTCCGTAATAACAAATCTCTAGGGAGTGTTTACTAGTCCAACTTTTATTAGAAATACTTTATAGACATCATTCCATACCAAGTGTTCTTAACGTTGTAAGCAGGCTTGTGAAGGGCAGGCCCTTCCTTCCTTGCTTGGAGACAATGGAAGTTCCCCCACAGACACATGGAAGCCTAGGCTGTCCTCCAGTGATGCAAAGGAAGGGAGAAAAACAAGTCTCCCTGCCCAAGCTGTTCCTCAAATGTTTCCTGGTCTGGAGATTTTCAGAAGGCTCCAAACCTCATGTGGTCAGAGGAGTTCCTTGTATATTCTTATTCGACTTTGAACCAATCAACACACTTCTGGACAAGTCTTCTTTAAACCAAGATCCCCCCAAACCAACCAAAAGCAAAACAAAACCCATTGTCACTGAGTCGATTCCAACCAATGGCGACTTCATGTGTTATAAAGTAGAACCGAAGTCCACAGGGTTTTCTTGGTTGTGATCTTTATAAAAGCAGATTGCCAGGCCTTTCTTCCATGGTGGATGGATTCGAACTACCAAGATAACCCTGTGGTGCAGTTCTACTCTGTAACACATGGGGTCGCCATAAGTCTGAATCAGCTTGACCAGGTTTGGTTTTGGTTTTGGATGATTCACTAGCTGTGTAAACCAGTTATTTAGCGCCTTTGAGCTTTAGTTTCCTCATCTGTAAAATGGGACTATGCTATTGGAAGTAAATGATTAAAAGTGCTTTGCACAATGTCAGACACATAAGATGCTTAACAAATGCTAGTTCCTTTCCCCTTCTCCCTCTGAAAGTGACTTGCCAAGCTCCTCTAACCAGGTAAAAGTAGAACCAGAACTAGAATCTGCATCTTCTTGAGCTTGGTCCAATGCTTGTTCTATGCTGCCTCTTCCCAACATGGGGACTGGTATCCATTTTCTGTGTATTCCTTCAAGTCTTTCTGGAGTAAGGTGGAAAACATGGACAGTAAATTGATCCAGGGGCAAGGGGAAGGAATTCATAATAAGTTAGCATCATGAAATATTTAATAGGATATTTTGAAAGTTGATGCTCTTGTGAAGAATCATAGAATAGAATTGCTCAATCCTTTGCTTTTATTTCTACCTGAGATCCTGATAATCTGGAAGCATGCATTCCCAGTAGATGGCGGCATTGTTTCATTTACTTTAAAGGTTCGCCATATATTTTGATCACCGGTAATTCTAGTAATAATTTCACTAATGGAATAGCAGAGTGTTTATGAGTGAATGTCCCTTTTTTCCTCCATATAGTTGGGTTTTTTTTTTTCTTCTCTCCTTAAAGAAAATGGATAAATGCTTGCATGTCAACACTCTTTTGGGCTAATAGTGATTTTTTAAAAAGGGAAAAATAAGTTTCCTCAGCATACAAGGTTGTGCTTGCCGTTCTGAGCCTGTGCACACTTTTTTATAGCCTAGTCTCAAGCGAGGGGACCCTCCCTTCCAGTTCTTCCATCTTTTGACCTATACTCATTGCAATCTGACCAAACGTTTATTTCAAAACCTCCCTTGCCTCTTAGGGCAGAGTTGCTTGGTGTTGATCTTAAAAGGTGGCTTCTCAGAATTTTAGACTAACAGAAGTTGATCTTCAATCAGTGTTCTGGAACGCCTCAAAGAGGTAGTATGCAAATAATCTCGCATCAATCCCAGGGCAGACAGACCAAAGGGGGAAGTCCATGCTGCTTTAACTTGTAAATCATAATGCTTTCAACCGACCCCAGATGGATTTTCCATATGCTTCCAAAGGGCTGAGTCTGGAAAAGCAGAGGTTGAGAGATGGCCAGATATCGAGTCTGAAATACAGAAGGCTTTTGGGCTGAGGGTTACTGATGACCTGTGTTTGTGGGTTGTCACAGCTGTATTGTTGGCTTCATCGGGGATCGATGTCAGCACCGAGAACTGAGATGGTGGCAACTGCGCCATGCTGGCCCTGGGCGGCAGCAGAACATCACCGTGGTGGCTGTCTGTGTGACTGGGCTTGTCCTGCTCCTCCTCTTGGCACTGTGGGGGACTCGCTATTACAGGTGACCCTTGCTTTCCATCGGTACTTCAAGCCTCTTCCTAACCCCTCCCAGAGAAATGCCTACCTCCTCCAGATGAGTTTCTTTTACACATTTGCTACGTTAAAGAAGTGAAATTACAGTTAAAAAATAAAAAGGGTCACTGCACTAAAACACCAGTGATTTCACTTTTCCATATCCCATTCTGGTCCTTGTCCGCAGACATCGCAGTTGATGTGGTTGCTATCTAACGTAGATACATTCTTTTGTATTCTACTTTTTTCTTTTAGCATTGCATGCTTTTCCCCTCATAGCCTGCATAACTATAATTTTTTATGGCTGTCTAAGGTCCCTGGGTAGTGCAAACCATTTGAACTCTGTTATTAACTGAAAGGTTGGCAGTTCAAATCCACCCAGCAGTGCCGCAGAAGAAAGACCTGGTGATCTAATTATGTAAGATTAAAAAAAAAAACAACAACAACCCAGTTGCTGTCAAGGTGGTTCTGATTCCTGGCAACCTCATATGTGCAGAAGAGAACTGTACTTCATAGGGCTTTCAAGGCTGTGACCTTTTGGATCTCTAGGCCTTCTTCAGAGGTGCCTCTGGTAGGTTTGAAAGGCTAACAGTCGCGAGCTTAACCCTTTGCACTACCCAGGTACTCCCTCAGAAGATTACAGATAGTGAAAACCCTGTGGAGCGCAGGCCACTCTGAAACACATGGGGTTGTCAGGAGTTGCAATTAACTTGATGAAAACATGTTTTTGGTTTTTTTACGTGATGACAATGAGTTGGTTTTGTATTTTTTACAACATTTTTTTCCATTAAGTTGATTTCCCATGAAGTATTAAGTTTTGTTAAAGAATATCAGTACTTTCCCTAACTTGGAAGGAAGTTTCTGGCTCTTGGATTTTTGTGTTTTTGATAATTTCAAATTAAAAGTAAACTGTGGAACAAGGAGATACACATTTAATGACTTTTAGATAACGTTACGTTAGGGTGCAGGAATAAGCGTCACATTGTTTGCTCATTTTCCATTTTGTTAAAAAGTAGGCCAGCATCCTCTACTATCATTGACATGTAAAAGCAACTATTTACTGTTATCGTTTACGCCGTACAAAATCAGTGAGTTGAAACTTGGACTGAAGTGGACTTGAATTATCTAGTTCAATCTCATTATTTCATAGCTGAAAAGGCTAAGACTCACTTAAATAATAGGCCCCAATTCTCTGGGAATGTTCAGGACATACATCTGCAGATAAAAATCCAACCACATTTTCCAGTGCTACACAACCACTCAGAGAGCAACTGTCTTGTATTCTGGAGAATTCCAGACACCAGCTAAGAGGCACTTGTCTGAGACCTTCCTGTGCTCTAGAGTAGTGGTTAAGAGCATGGGCCCCAGACTTAGACTACACAGGTTTAAATCCCAGTTCATGCTTAAGTAACTTTTGGCATGTTACTTAACCTCTGTGTGCATTAATTTTTTTTTTTTTTTTTGGTCATAAAATAGGGACAAGAATAGTACTTATCTTAAGGGTTATTTTAAAGAACCACCAACTGTCTGTCAGTTTGTTGTACTGTGGTGACTCGCATGCTGCTGTGATGCTGGAAGCTGTGCCACCAGTATTTCAAATACCAGCAGGTTCACCCACAGAGGACAAGTTTCAGTGGCGCTTCCAGACTAACACAGACTGGGAAGAAAGGCCTGACAATCTATTTCTGAAAAGTATTCAATGAATACCCTATGGGCCACATCAGAATAGTGTCCAGTACAGTGCTAGAAGATGAGCCCCCTAGGTTGTAAGGCATTCAAAATGCATAATGGCTGCAGCAATGGACTCAAGCATGCAAACATTATGAAGATGGTATAGGACCAGGCAACATTTCGTTCTGTTGAAGTGGAGTTGTCGTGAGTCAGAGCTGACCTGATAGCAACTCACAACAATAAAGAACTTAGCATACGACTGGCATATTGTCTTAGTCATCTAGTGCTGCTGTAACAGAAAAATCCCAAGTGGATGGCTTTAACAAGCAGAAGTTTATTTTTTCCCAGTTTGTTGTTAGGTGACGTTGAGTTGATTCCGACTCATAGCAACCCTATAGGACAGAGTAAAACTGCCCCATAGGATTTCCAAGGAGCAGCTGGTGGGTTTGAACTGCTGACCTTTTGGTTAACAGCCAAGCTCTTAATCACTATGCCACGGTTTAGGAGGCTTGAAATCCGAATTCAGGGTGCAGCTCTGGGGGAAGGCTTTCTCTCTCTGTCAACTCTGGAGGAAGGTCCTTGTGTTTTCAGCTTCTGCTTCCTGGTCCCTTGGAGATCTCCACGTGACTTGGCATCTATCTTACCCCGTCTCAAAAGAGATTGACTCAAGGCACACCCAACACTAATCCTGCCTCATTAATATAACAAAGATGACCCATTTACAAGTGGGATTATAACCACAGGCATAAAGGTTAGAATTTATAACACATATTTTGGGGGGGACACAATTCAATCGATAACACATAATAAACAAAAAAAATTCACTGCCATCGAGTTGATTCCGACTCCTAGTAACCCTACAAGACAGAGTAGAACTGCCCTGTAGGGTTTCCACGGAGCGGCTGGTGGATTCGAACTGCCAACCTAAATGCTATCTGTTGTTGTTACGATTTTCCGCAAACTGTAATCTTCCCCAAAGAGTCACATGTTCCAAATCCTTTTCTATCTCAGACTGAGAGTCAAGATTCTCAGGCACAAAGTTGAAATTTGAATTCAGTGGTCTATCAGTAACCAAGGTACTTTTTAGCTTGGTATTCAATCGGTATCTTGGATGTTTGTAGAAAAAATATTGAACGATCAATAGTCACATATACAGAATGCCAAAAGAAAACAGATGCTTGGCAAAAAGTGTAGCAAGATACATAAGTTCATGTGTGCCATGATTATTAAGTATTTTTTCTTATTTGATGGGCAGTGGTATAATAAGTCTATACTTCTATGGACATTTTCAGAGTTCTGGACTTAAAGCTAATGGCAAATTGCTGGGCATTCATGACTTGGAATTCAAAGACAAGCTCAGCTGAAAGATAACTATAGGCTATAAACTTTACACATAAATAAGAACATATTCAACTTCTGATCCCCATATACCTAAAAGCAAAAGTGATAAGGACTATTTCTTAAAAAGAAGGCTCATCAGAACCCTTTCTTTTTCTTTTTACCAAATGCATCCAGAGTTGTAAAGTTCTTTCTGGGCCAATCGATGGTTATTTACCTAACAGTTCTGATCAGTGTAGCTGCTTACCCCACTGAAGTCTTCAGCTATGTGCTTGACTGCGTTTGTACCAAAGATAATATTGATTCTGATGAGATCAAATTAAAACTGCTAGTCCAATCTCCCCATGTCACCAGAGTATACCAACAAATACAGGTCTAGCCTCCTAGATAGGGCTGTTTGACAGAGGGTTGCACCCCTAGAGAGGATGAAGCTGCCCATCTGCCCATGGATGGCAGTGCCCTATTTCCCTGCCATATTTTCTTCATTACCTTCTCTTAAGTGGATATTTGCATACATACATTATATGCCTGTCTCTCTACCTCTAGAGGCTGCTGCTTTGAAGATAAAGATCCTACCTTAATGCTAGGTCACCTCCCACTCTGTAAATGGCACCATACCTTGCATTGACTTAGGGCTTCATGTTCGTCAAATAAATATTGTGTGCTGTTGAGTCAATTCCGACTCAAAGTGACCCTATAGGACAGAGTAGAACTGCCCCAGTTTCCTAGTCTGAAATCTTTATGGGAGCGTATGGCGAGGTCTTTTCTCTCATGGAGAGGCTGATGTGTTCAAACCTTTTGGTTAGCAATTAAGTACTTAACCATTGCACCACCAGGGCTCCTGTCAAATAAATCTGTATTTAAAAAACTGGATTTGGAGGCAGGAGACTCCTGTGAGAGACAGTTTTATCTTGGGTCTGCCATTCTTACAGTTCTTGCTTCTAATTCTTTATGAGTAGAACATTGCGGAGGGCCAGTGGGAGGAGCCTAGGCTATGACATCATTATGACCCAGTTCCTGCATTGTTCTTGGTAGCTGTGTGTCTTGGGTGAGTCACTGACATCTCCGAGCACCACTGGCTTCAGATGTAAAAAAGGGGCTAATATAGTCTGCCTCCATAGGGTTGCTGGGATATTATTCCTATACATAACCCCCACCGAAGAAATGCAAGTTTCATTAAGGTATTGACATCGTTGTTATTGTTTTTCCTTTGCTATATCCCCAGTATCTAGGACATTGCCTGGGATATAGTTAGTACTCAATAGGTAACTGTTGAATGAATGCGTAGCTACTCCTCACAACCTCATACAACCTTAGAATGAGTGAAAGATCATCTGGAGACCATTTTGAGTTCTGCAGAAAAGAATGCCTTAAAACCTCAAGGTTATACTCCCAATTGTGTTAATATTTTTCTCTCCCATACACTGGTGGCACAATGGTTAAGATGTGGGCTACTAACCAAAAGGTTGACAGTTTAAATCTACCAGCAGCTCCTTGGAAACCCTATAGGGCAGTTCTACTCTGCCCTACAGGGTCGCTATGAGTTGGAATTGACTCGACGGCACATAACAACAACAACACACACTTCAAGTACCTAAATTTCAGCAACAAAATAGTTGCTCCTGACCATCCTCGGGTGGGCTGAGTGTTTTTTTGTTGGTGTTTACTTGTTTGGTTTGGAGATTGTCTCAAATTTTGTCTTTATTGCAGGAATCAGAAGCTCCTGTCAAAAAACCCAAAGAATCCATATGAAGAGTCAAGCAAAGATATGAGCAGTAGCAGGCCTACTGACAGCGAGATGGGGTTGTCTTCTTGCCCCCAACCTTGGGTAATGCAACCAAAGCAGATGGAGCAAAGAATTGGCTTGCTATTAATCCCAGTTCATTCCTCCTTATTCTTCATGGAGTTCAGAGAGACCAGAATCTGTTACAATGTCTGGCTGGCATTAATATGAGCCAATACCACATCTGCTGGGGAGAATTGGGGTCATGGAAGTGGGGTGGGAGGTTAGAGGGTGGAGAGGGAACTGTGTCCTAAATTAAGGTAATAAGAAGGACTAAAATAGCACCATAATTTAATGGCACAAGAAATTCATGGAATCTTTTTTCTATCATATAGCTTCTTCCTAGAACCTAGATTTTTATGTGTTACATGAAGAGTTTTCCCCAATTTTCAGGTGGTCCCCTTCCAATGGACTTTTTTTTTTCCTATACAAAAATTTATACATACATTGTTATGTGGACTCTAATTGCTCTCCCCGTACTGTGACAGCACACTCCTCCCTTGCATCCCTGATTCCCCATGTCCATTTAACAAGCTCCTAACCCTCTCTGCCTTCCCATCTCACCTCTGGACAGAAGCTGCCCATTTAGTCTCTTGTAGCTACTTAAGCTAAGAGGCACACTCCTCAAGAGTATCACTTTATGTCCCATAGTCCAGTCCAATCCCCGTCTGAAGAGTTGGCCTCGGAAATTGTTCTAGTTCTGGGCTGTTAGAGAATCTAGGGGCCATGCTTTCTGGGGTTACTCCAGTCTCAGTCAGACCATTAAGTCTGGTCTTCTTGCTAGAATTTGAGTTCTGCACCCCACCTTTCTCCTGCTCCATCCGGGATTCTCTGTTGTGTTCCCTGTCAGGGTGGTCATTGGTGATAGCTGGGCACCATCTAGTTCTTCTGGTCTCAGTCTGATGAAGTCTCTGGTTTATGTGGCTCTTTCTGTCTCTTGGGCTAATACTTTCCTTGTGTCTTTGGTGTTCTTCGTTCTCCTTTACTCCAGGTGGTTGGGATCAATTGATGCATCTTAGATGGCCACTTGCAAGCTTTTAAGGCCCCAGATGCCACTCACCAAAGTAGGATGCAGAACTTTTTCTTAATAAGCTTTGTTATGCCAATGGACCTAGATGTCCCCTGAAAGCATGGTCCCCAGACCCCTACCCTGCTACTCTGTCCCTCAAAGTGTTTGGTTGTACTCAGGAAACTTCTTAGCTTTGGTTTAGTCCAGTTGTGCTGACTTCCCCTGTAGTGTGTGCTGTCCTTCCCTTCACCTAAGATAATTCTTATCTACTATCTAGTTAGCAAATAACCCTCACCCTCCCTCCCCACCCTCGTAACCATCAAAGAATGTTTTCTTCTGAGTTTAAACCTTTTCTTGAGTTCTTGTAATAGTGGTCTTATACAATATTTGTCCTTCTGTGACTGACTAAATTCAGTCAGCATGATGAGTTCCAGCTCCCTCCATGTTATGTTTCACAGCTTCATAGTTGTTTTTTATTGTTGTGTAGTATTCCATTGTGTGGATATACCATAATTTGTTTATCCATTCTTCCGCTGATGGGCACCTAGGTTGTTTCCATCTTTTTGCTATCATGAACAGTGCTGCAATGAACATGGTGTGCATGTATCTATTTGTGTGATCACTCTTATTTCTCTGGGATATATTCTGAGGAGCGGGATAGCTGGATGGTATGGTACTTCTATTTCTAGCTTTTTAAGGAAGCGCCAAATCGATTTCCAAAGTGGTTGCACCATTTTACATTCCCACCAACAGTGTATAAGTATTCCAGTCTCTCCACAACCTCTCCAGCATTTGTTATTTTGTGTGTTTTGGATTAATGCTAGCCTTGTTGGGGTGAGATGATATCTAATTGGACTTTTCATTTGCATTTCTCTAATGGCTAATGATTGTGAGTATTTCTTCAAGTGTCTGTTAGCTGCCTGAATATCTTCTTTGGCGAAGTGCGTGTTCATATCGTTTGCCCATTTTTTAATTGGGTTATTTGTCTTTTTGTTATTGAGGTTTTGCAGTATCTTGTAGATTTTAGAGATTAGACGCTGATTGGATTTGTCGTATCCAGAAAATTTTCCCCAGTCTGTAGATTGTCTTTTGACTCTTTTGGTGAAGTCTTTTGACGAGCATAAGTGTTTGATTTTTAGGACCTCCCATTTATCTAGTCTCTCTTCTAGTGCTTCTGCATTGTTACTTATGGTTCATATTGTGTTTATGCTATGTATTAGGGCTCCTAGTGTTGTCCCTATTTTTTCTTCCGTGATCTTTATCGCTTTCAATTTTATATTTAAGTCTTTGATCCATTTTGAGTTAGATTTTGTCCATGGTGTGAGGTATGGGTCTTGTTTCAGTTTTTTGCAGATGGATATGCAGTTATGCCAGCACCTTTTGTTAAAGAGACTGTCTTTTCCCCAATTAACAGACTTTGGGACTTTGTCAAATATTAGCTGCTCATAGGTGGATGAATTTATGTCTGGATTCTCAAGTCTGTTCCATTGTTCTACGTATCTGTTGTTGTACCAGTACCAGGCTGTTTTGACTACCATGGTGGTATAATAGGTTCTAAAATCAGGTAGTGTGAGGCCTCCCACTTTGTTCTTCTTGAGTAATGCTTTACTTATCCAGGGCCTCTTCCCTTTCCATATGAAGTTGGTGATTTGTTTCTCCATCTCATTAAAAAATGCCATTGGAATTTGGATTGAGATTGCACTGTATCTGTAGATCATTTTGCTTAGAGTTTCACAATGTTGAGTCTACCTATCCATGAGCAAGGTATGTTTTTCCACTTATGCAGGTCTCTTTTGGTTTCCTGCAGTAGTGTCTTGCAGTTTTCGTTGTATAGGTCTTTTACGTTTCTGGTTAGATTTATTCCTAAGTATTTTATCTTCTTGGGGGCTATTGTAAATGGTATTGATTTGGTGATTTCCTCCTAGAGGTTCTTTTTGTTGGTGTAAAGGAATCCAACTGATTTTTGTATGTTTACCTTGTATACTGAAACTTTGCTGAAGTCTTTTATTAGTTCCAGTAGTTTTCTTGTGGATTCTTTGGAGTGTTCTGTGTATAAGATCATATAATCTGCAAACAGAGATACTTTGACTTCTTCCCTACCAATGTGGATGCCTTTTATTTCTTTTTCTAGCCTAATTGCTCTGGCTAGGACCTCCAGCACAATGTTGAATAAGAGTGGTGATAAAGGGCATCCCTGTCTGGTTCCCGTTCTCAAGAGGAATGCTTTCAAAGTCTCTCCATTTAGGATGACGTTGGCTGTTGGCTTTGTATACATGCCCTTAATTATATTGAGGAATTTCCCTTCTATTCCTATTTTGTTGAGAGTTTTTATCATGAATGGGTGTTGGATTTTGTCAAATGCCTTTTCT